TAGTTGATTAATTTCCTTATCACTATTGTCAGAAGCCAAAATGATTTCCCTTCTACAAGAAGCGGAGATACTCGGGGGAAGTGGTAACCAAGTGGTAACGAATGCCAACAGCAACCACTTTTTAGCAACACTGTCGTTTACCGCCTTTTCGTTACAAGAAAGCTGCACTGCAACAAAACCATATTCACCGTATGTTGGGAAACACCCAGCTACTGATATTTTGAACATGTGAATTCAAAATTGCTGAAATTGTCAAAATTCCTTGGACGACAGTGCGGAACATTATCAAAATTCCTTGGGCGACAGTATGGAATCCCAGTGATAGTCCTGTTACCGAAATATATACCACACATCGGACGTAGCTATGTTAGCCCAGCTTGTTCTTGTCTGTTCGATATAAATACACTAACTTGTAGAAGATAATCTCTCAAAATTTAGAATTTACGATTTTTTTGCCTTTCAAACGTAAAATTATCCAGAATCAAGGCCTGTGGACATGATACAATACCCAGAAGCCCAAGGATGATTTCAGGTCTGTTGACTTATTCACCGTAACAGACTGGTGTTCTAAAATTTCAGCTTTCTGAAAACGACATTCGTCCGAATAAAAAACACTCAAAAATATTAACAAACAAATGAATGCACATTTTTACAAACAAACATGGTCAGCTACTGCGCGCCTTTCACTTTTTCAGAAAAATAATAGTACAAAAAAAGAAAACATCCACCAGCGCTAAAAGTTCGCACAACAGACGACGCTTTCTTTTGAAACGCTTTGGCCACCGGTGAAAACTCTCCTTTAGTAGTCCTGAAACAATAAGGTTGGAGATAAGGGATCACTCTAAGTATCATGTGCAAGAAGACATATGGGTTTTGTTCTTGATTCGCCGGAGTTTAGTAAAAGGTCCAAAATGAATATACTGAAAGAGATTGTTCACGGCCAAGTTGGCACTAATCTCCCACAAAGATGTGAGGTTAAGTCAACTACGTGTCTGGCTTCCTGGTCCGATTTGGATTTGCTCAGTGTGTTCAGCTGTTTTTAAATTCCCTTGCAGAATTTCTTATTTAACACAAACACATACCCTTTTGCAACACCGCCTGGATATTTATATTTGCAGATATTGCGCGGGTTGCCCATAAGTAATTTTAGCATCCCCTCTACGGTATCCATTGAATTGTTCGCCTGGAAAGTCGTTTCGCGGAGCACCGTTTCAGTGCTAATTAGCTTAGTGAATAGTCAGCTTTCTTTAGTATTTCAGAAAAACTAGCTCAATTTTGTTTTGAAAAAAACGCTTAGGCTACTTGTGAAGGATGAGCAGTATGGAATGTGAAATGAAGTTAAACGTCAGGTAATTTTAGTATTTACAAATTCGTCGAGTACGATTTTTCTAGAATTCTTTGGTTCAAACAAAACCACGAAACGGGCAGTGATTTCAAGGACGCAGCGGACAATACAAAAGGAGCATTTCAGAAAGAAACTGCCTAGGAATTTCTGGAAGAAGTTGTCCCGGTATTCTCACAAGTCAAAGCAACCAAGACAAATATATGAAATTTACAAACGAGTCTGACCTGTTAAGTTCGATGGTTCCATTACCAAGGAATTTTTAGGGCTTTTAAATCTGGAGCCTACAAATTCACACACGGACTGTACAAGTAATGTCTACTCGATTTTTTGAAAAAAAGGCAAAATTTTTGCTGAGCATTCGGTCTTGAGGATTTTTGAGCTAACGATCTCTCTAGGAAACGAACTGAAAGCAAGAATCGCCAACAGGTTACTATCAGGCGAAGCAGCACTGGTTCAAAGCAAATGGAAAAGTTGCCAGCTGCACAGCTGGTAAACCAGGAATTGTACTGCAAGTGGTCAAGCTGTACAACTCTTCACTTAATTTATATAAAAAGTCAAAACCCTCTCCGCACTTGTCGTCTGTGAGAGGCACAGGCACTCGGTAACAAGCACTAGTGATAGCAAATGCCAACAGCAACCACACGCCGGCAAGACTTTCAGCGGCTCCTTTTGTCAAGGATTGCTTACAAGCAAGATTGTGGTGGATTTGTCTTCTTGGAATGTGGCAGTACCAATTTACCATCGAAACGATGTAACTCTAACTGCGGTATAGAGAGAGCAAAAAACAATCAAGATCTCAGAACCTAATTTGCTTTGCACCATGTCGCCCAGTTGAAGAAATAGGCCTTTATCGAATACGTCTGTTGTTAGACAAGAGAAGTGATATGTTAACGGTATAGATAACTTCTCAGGATTGCTTACAACGTAATCTGATGCCGCGAACGTATCCATTACATCAACTCCGGATTGCGGATTGGGATTCTGATTCACATTGACACCCTCGTTTCCCGGAACTTCTTTTCGATCCATCTGTAAGAAACCGTAGCGCTTATTTTGGCTCTCATATTCACCCGGCAGTCCTTTCCTTTTCAAGACGAAGCGCAGGATAATTTTTCAGGTTTAAAATTCCCGGAATATTGCCTTCCAAGCTTTGCCATGGATTCCAGTGATAACGCTTTTGTTAGCACAGATGTAGCCAGATGAGTAGCCAGGCTTTCAGATATCTGTAGCAGCGATCACTAAGGACAATTATGTTCATTCGTTTCGATGGTAAAGTGGTACCGGCGTACGCCTGGGAATCAAACCCGTCATCAGCTTGCTTCTGAGCAACTCTCGAAAGAAAAGAATTTTGCTGACTGTCGTCAGCTTTGTCAGTGGGTGGTTGTTGTTGGCATGTGCCACCACAGAGGCTAGTGCTTATGCCTTTGATTGGAAGAACTTTTGATAGCGCAAATATCGTTAAGTGACAGACATTTTCACCAAAAAAATTTAAAGTGTTTTAAGTTGGGGCACTAAAAATTCAACAAATAATGGATCCGATTGAAGCTCCATTCTAACCGTGAATAAGTGAAATTAACTTTTTATGTTA